ATCTATCTATCTATCTATCTATCTATCAACATCTATCTATCTATCTATCTATACGTCATCTACCTATCTATCTATCTATCTATCTATCTACATCCATCCATCCATCCATCTATCTATCTATCTATCAACATCATCATCTATCTATCTATCTATCTATCTATCTATCTATCTATCTATCTATCTATCTATCTATCTATCTATCTACATCCATCCATCCATCCATCTATCTATCTATCAACATCATCTATCTATCTATCTATCTATCTATCTATCTATCGATCTATCGATCTATCTATCTATCTATCTATCTATCTATCTATCTATCTATCGATCTATCTTTCTATCTATCCGTCATCTACCTATCTATCTATCTATCTATCTATCTATCTATCTATCTATCTATCTATCCGTCATCTATCTATCTATCCGTCATCTATCTATCTATCTATCTATCTATCTATCTATCTATCTATCTATCTATCTATCTATCTATCTATCTATCTATCTATCTATCTATCTATCTATCTATCTATCTATCTATCTATCTATCTATCTATCTATCTGTCTGTCCACAGGCCTCTTGTTATTGAACATTTTCCTGATTGCAGCATCACACATGTGTGTCTTACGTGTGTTTCTTGGGACAGTATTGTAAAGTGTGTTGTGATGTCGTGTTCGCAGTGCAGAGCTGAGGCTGTAGATCAGCATGAACACACCATAGACTGGAAGGAACACACACACACACACACACACACACACACACACACCAGCTTCAGTGTCCGCAGTGGCGCCTGTGCTCTACATTATTCATGAGCTATTTGAATACATGCAAATACATTGGCACAGCGCCAGGTACCCATGGCAACGACCGGTGACCCCGCCCCCAGCCAGCATCAGCACCAATCAGCATCAGCCCTGCGTGTCTGCGCGTCTCAAGATCAGTTTCATTCAGCAACGGGAAATAAACATTCAAATCACTGACGATTAAATATTCAAGAAACGCATATTATTATGGGTTTTAGAATATGTTGTTGAGGTTCTTAAAACTTCGGTTAACTTAAAAGACTTAGATGAAATAATATAATTAATAAATGAAATATAACAGGGGTTTATCAGGTCAAGTTCAGGGCATCGCTACACTCGGGAGATTCGGATGACCCAGGATCAGGTCTGCAGCGCCATCTAGCGGTGAACACATCTGATCCTGTGTTCAAATCTGGACATGCATTTTTGTCCATTTTGAAATCAAATCTGATTAAACTGTTTAAAATAACCCCAATGATAATGTTTTTGAAAGAGTCTCTTTTGCTCACCAAGGCTGCATTTATTTGATTAAAAAAAATACAGTAAAAACAGTGAAATATTATTATAATGTAAAAAAGCTTTTTTTTAATGTGAATATATAGTAAAGTGTAATTTATTCCTGTGATCAAAGCTGTATTTTCAGCATCATTACTCCAGTCTTCAGTGTCACATGATCCTTCAGAAATCACTCTAATATGATGATCTGATGCTCGAGAAACATTTATGATTATTATCAATGTTGAAAACAGCTTCATATTTTTGTGGAAAGCCGTGATACATTTTATTTTTCAGAATTCTATGATGCATATAGAGTTCAAAAGAACAGCATTTATTTGACATCTTAACATTATAGATGTATTTACCGTCACTTTGGATCAATGTAATGCGTCCTCGCTGAATACAATATTAATTTCTTTCAAACTTTTGAATGGTAGTGTAAATAAACCAGACAGTTCAGTACATGTACTATATGATGTATTATAGAGGAGATCGGGGCAAGTTGTCACAAGATCTGTATCTTATTAACTATCAGAATTTGGAATCAAAAGCATAAAAACACACGTTTTTGTCTTCCGCTTCCTCAAGTCAGAATAATTTGTGTGCATTCTGTCCTTCAAACTAAAATAAATATTATTTTAATATCTGTTGGCTATGAATGCAATAAAATCACACTGACAAAAAGATAAGAGTCACTATGGAGGGAGATTTGAACTGTTCTCAGGATCTTTTATATTAAATATAGTTCATTAATTACAGTGTATGTTGTGCAAAACAATGGTTTGATATCTGTGTGCAACTCTCAGTACATTCATGATTTTTCTCCGTTTTAAGTCAGCCTGAAAAGTATAGCTTATGTTATGGAAAAAGGCTAAACAGTATTTTCAAGGATATTCTTCTCGATAATGTTAAATTTAATGTGGACATTAAATTTAATATTCAACAAAAATATCGATCTGCCTGCCATTGACAATATTATAGGCCTACAAGAACTGAACTGGACGATGACATCACAGTTTACTCCAGAGCGGCTAAAAATAATAATAATAATAATAATAATAATATATATATATATATAAATTAACTAAATTCATAACTTTTTTACAACAAAAATTAAACATCACTGAACTTGCTTAAGCTGGACTGTGACGCTATTTTCTTCTGGAAACAAACTTTTAATGCATTATTTTCCTGTTATCTCTGTAAAGCTGTATTGTAAAAAGCGCTATATAAATAAATGTGACTTGACAAATCAAACTCAGTGTCAGTAAACAGCAGAGACACGAGCTTCGGTTCAGACACACGAGCTTCGGTTCAGCTGCGGCTTTATGCTGCCATCTAGAGGAATCGATCAAAACACTGATTCAAGATTCATTGATTCCTTTGGGATGTCTTATGTCTAAAACCCAGACACGCACATTTACAAGTGTGTGTTCAGACAATATGAATAAATGATGGGGAGAAAAAGGCTTGATTATAATATCATTAGTTTATTTGGCACAAATCTCTTCGATTTACAAACAAGTCTTGAATCCAGACGAGTCATTTTAGCGCATGAGATTCGTTCGATAAACACAATAGAATCAACTTCACAATGAATCGCACCACTGATTCTTCTCCGTTACATTAAAGCGCGCATGAATTCATAAAACACAGTTTCCAGAATTGATCGCCGAGTTGCTTCAGATCAATCTCAGTGTTTTATTAGGAGTCTCGGATGTTTAAAAGCCATTTTTAGATTATAATCATTGTGCTTGAGCGTCGTGTGATTGTCAGGTTAGTAGTAGGAATGAGATGATAACCGTGAGTAAATACAACAGCCCCAAGAAGTATCTATACTCTTAATACACATTTAAAACGCCACTACATAAGATATGAAATATCAAAAGAGGTGTAATTTATTGTAACAAGTTTAAAATGATAAAACAATTAGATTCGGATCTAATGAATCACATTGACTGAAGTGAACAAATCTTTTTGGAGTCAGTGTATAATTCAAACATTTCAATATTCATCCAAAGACAAAATATACTTGTGAGTCCTGTAGTTTCATATTAAAAAGCTCTCCTTTCAGTCACTGACTAAACGCTGCAATGGTTGAAGACCGAATGTGATTTGTTCATTATCTAGCTGAATATTGGTGAATTACAGGAGTTAGTAACACTGTAGTGTCCCTCTGTAAGGGATGATGTTGAAGTTCATGTGTTTCGTTTCTCTCTCCAGGCACTTGGGAGCTACACACACAAGAACTGCACATTCATACATGTGCAAAACACACACACACACACACACACACACACACACACACACACGCAGATCATTTCACTATCCTGTCCTGGATCAGCGATAAAGAGTAAAAAGGGGTGAATCTCATGAAGAGATGACCAGCTCATATTTCACCCCAAAAATAATAAAAAAGGATTTCGGTAACACTTTATATAATACATTATTCAAGTATTTTTAATGCATTAAATGCCTTGTAATGCATTGCATCATGAATAATTGTAACCTCATCTCTAATACTTATCAATTCATTGTTACACCTTTAGAAATAAACAATTAATTTCAAATTGAACAAGGAATCTGCCAATATTATAATGCATCATAATGTACATTATGGCTACCTTTTTAATGAATTAAACATTAAGTAAAGTGTTTTTATGTTTTTACAATATTGCAGGAAGGAAGGGATGTTTATCTTTTAATTAAAAATCAGCAAATCAGCAATTAAATTAAATTCAAAACAACAAATACTACCATAAAGTATACATACAATTATACTTTTAAATAATTTATAATTTGGGAAAAAAGTGTTTAAGTGATGTGCTTTTTTTCTTTAATTAAAAATCACAAATTAAATTCAAAACAACAAATACTACCATAAAGTATACATACAATTATACTTTTAAATAATTTATAATTTGGGAAAAGAGTGTGTTTAAGTGTTGTGCTTTAAAAAAAAAAAATTAAAATCACAAATTATATTCAAAACAACAAATACTACCATAAAGTATACCTACAATTACACTTTTAAATAATATATAATTTGAGGTAAAATGTGTGTTATTGCTGTGCAGAAATACATAAATCTCAATGGTCCTAAATCAGGATACATGCAATTTATGTAAAATCTTATTTAGAATATTATACGAATCTTTTGATTTCAGAGTGAAAAATGACCTGATCATTTCCATGAGTCTCACGCTGATATGAAAGTGATATCCAGACAAACACACGCTGTAAACTCGACGTGTGTCTGTATTTCCATCAACACACTCCAGAAACACATTCAGTCGGTATTGCACTTACAGGACGTTCAGTGTGTGATGGCGGGACGTACATTCAGCGTGTCTCTGTACCAAACACACACTTGCTCGCTCGAAACACAAAACGCTTGCATCAGAAATCAAAAGCCAAACAACTTTTTCTCATCCTCTTCATTGGCAGCATATTCTCAGGTTTTTTAAAAAAAAGGGTAACACTTTACAATAAGGTTCATTAGTTAACTACCGTAGTTAACACAAACTAAAAATGAGCAAAACTTCTACAGCATTTATTAATCTCAACATTTACTAATACATTAATAAAATCAAAGATTGTATTTGTTAACATTAGTTAATGTACTGTGAACTAACGTTAACAAAGATTAACTAACACAGTAACAAATGTATTGCTCATTAATACATCAACTAATGTTAACAAATGAACCTTATTGTAAAGTGTTACCAAAAAAAGAAACTGAACTTGTTCTGTTTATCTTACGTCGGGTCTCTACGCTGCTACCGCGCGCTGTAGTTGAACTGCTGAAACTTGCGCAGCAGGATCTGCGAGAGGTCGAAGGTCATGAAGCTGATGCCGACCGCGATGGGCCCTTTGACCCAGTTCATGCTCAGGCCCTTGTAGAGTCCTCGGATCACGCCCTCCTCCGCCACGATGTCCCTCATGGTGCCGGAGATGGTGCCGTACGTGTGTCCGGTGACGCCGGCCGTCTGCATGCGTCTGCGCACCACATCCAGCGGGTACGAGGAGGACTGACCGATCAGACCCGCGCACGCACCGAACGCCAGGCGCTCGTACGAGTACGGCTGAGAGCGACCCGTGTGCTCTGAAACACCGAGAGGAGAGACCCGTTACTGAGAAATCAGCAAACATGCACAGGAAAATAAAATGGTCACACTTCACAAAAAGGTTTATTAGTTAACTTCCTCAGTTAACATGAACTAAGAGTGAACAATAACAAAAAAGTGCTCGGGGAGTTCAGTCAGATGTTTGAAGGTGCTCTTACTGGCTGTTTACTTTATGTAGAGCTGGTAAATAAAGGCTTTTTAAATAATTTTGAAGAAGAGTGCCTTTCTACATTTACAGGTGAAACGCGAAAAATTTGAATATGGTGCAAAAGTTCATTTATTTCAGTAATTCAACTTAAAAGGTGAAACTAATATATTATATAGACTAGTGCTGTCAAACGATTAGTTAACTCGCAATTAATCGCACATTTTTATCTATTCTAAATGTCTCTTGATTTCTTTTTGTCCCATTATTTTTTTCTCATTTTAATGCAGTTATCAACATGGAAAAGTGGATCGGCTTGCTTTGTGCAAATGTTTTTTATTGAAAACAATATTGGCATATACTGTGTTCAATTTCACACTAACATTCTCACTTATAATAATCTCTTTTATAAGCAAATAATCTCTCACACAATGTAACACTGTCCATCAATAAAAGGGTGAAAGAAATACTGACGAGGTCCTGATATTGACGAGGGGGCGGGGAATTCGCATCAGCTGTGTGTGTGTGTGTGTGTGTGTGCTTGGCCATCATCAAGTGGTGTTTCAGACTGGACGTGCTGCGATGATGATAGCTCAGTTCACAACGACAAAACACACAGATCACTTTGGTCTTGTCAATGGAACCATTTGGCAACTTTTTTAAAGTAAACTTTCCATTCAGAATCTTATTGGCGTCCATTTCGGCGTCTCGCGCTCGTCATCCACTCAAAACGTAACGTTAACCTACTATGTGGCCGGCTCGCAAGCCCAAACAAGTGTGTGCGGCGTGCCTGTTGTTTTGTTTCCGGTCTAGCTAGATCCGCTTGCGCTTTGGTCGACGAAGCAACAAAACGTCCTCGCGCGGCGCCGCGTCCTGTTGCAAAAGCATGTGAAAAAAACTACAAAGTTTGCTAGGCCAAAAAGACCGTTAATCACGCGATAAAAAAATTGACGCCGTTAATAACGCGTTTAACTGACAGCCCTAGTATAGACTCATTACATGCAAAGTGAGATATTTCAAGCCTTTATTTGTTATAATTTTGATGATTATGGCTTCCAGCTTATGAAAACCTTTTCACAATATTCTAATTTTGAATTTAGGGTTTCATAAGCTGTAAGCCATAATCATCAAAATGATTGATCTATTTATTATAAAAAATTACTGAAATAAATGAACTTTTGCACGATATTCTAATTTTTCGAGTTTCACCTGTATAAGAATGAACAATACTTCTTCTTCAGCATTTATTAATCTCAGTTAATATTAATTTCAACATATGCTCTGAAACACCGAGAGAAGAGAGCAGTTACTGAGGGTTAGGAGACAGACAACAGCAAATAAAACATGCACAGTAAAATAAAACAATCCCCCGCTTTCACAGACAAGGCTTAAAATGCATGTTTGAGTTCTCTTAAAGACCCTCTGAAATCAAAAATGTACGTTTTTTAGCTTTTAGTATGAATATGTGAGCCTTAAGGTTATGAATAGGCTGGTGTGTGTTCCAAAACAATGGCAAAATTCGCATTTAGGAGATATTAGCATTAATAGTTAAGACCAGTTATTAACGGTTATGAAACCCATATAGTTGATGCATTATAATGGGACCTTGTTGTAAAGTGTTAATGTGTTTTCTGGGTCAAGAAAATAAAAAGGTAACACCTTACAACAAGGTTAACATTAACTATATTAGTTAACATATGAACAATACATCTAAAGCATTTATTAATGTTAAAGTTAATCTCAATTTTTGACTAAATTGTTCTTTAAAATCAAAAGTTAACAGTTTATGCATTGTGAACTATAATTAACAAACAATGAACAGTTGTATGTATAATAACTAATATTAGCAAGGACTAATAAATATATTGCTCACTGTTGATTCATGTTAGTTAATACATGAGTACAATAACAAGAGTTACCATAAAAACCGAACTAAAAGCAGTCAATAATTTGAAACTAAGATTGACACTGAAACCAGACAACAAATAAAAACAGAATGGAAACCAGTGAAACATTTTGAGTAATAACACTGAATCTCTCTCACTCACTCACTCACTCACTCACTCACTCACTCACTCACTCACTCACTCACTCACTCACTCACTCACTCACTCACTCACTCACTCACTCACTCACTCACTCACTCACTCACTCACTCACTCACTCACTCACTCACTCACTCACACACTCACTCACACACTCACACTCAACTCTCACACACTCTCACTCAACTCTCACACACTCACACTCACTCTCACACACTCACTCACTCACTCACACTCACACACACTCTCACACTCAACTCTCACACACTCTCACTCAACTCTCACACACACTCACTCACTCACTCACTCACTCACTCACTCACTCACTCACTCACTCACTCACTCACTCACTCACTCACTCACTCACTCACTCACCTCACACACACACACTCACTCACACTCACTCACACTCACTCACACTCACTCACACTCACTCACACTCACTCACACTCACTCTCACACAACTCTCACACACTCACACTCAACTCTCACACACTCACACTCACTCTCACACACTCACACTCAACTCTCACACACTCACACTCACTCTCACACACTCACACTCAACTCTCACACACTCACACTCAACTCTCACTCACTCACTCACTCACTCACTCACTCACTCACTCACTCACAAACACACACTCACTCACACTCACTCACACTCACTCACACTCACTCACACTCACTCACACACTCACTCACTCACTCACTCACTCACAAACACACACTCACTCACACTCACTCACACTCACTCACACTCACTCACACTCACTCACACTCTCACACTCTCACACTCTCACACTCTCACACTCTCACACTCACTCACTCACTCACTCACTCACTCACTCACTCACTCACTCACTCACTCTCACACACTCACACTCAACTCTCACACACTCACACTCAACTCTCACACACTCACACTCAACTCTCACACACTCACTCTCACTCTCACACACTCTCACACACTCACTCACTCACTCACTCACACTCACTCACACTCACTCTCACTCACTCTCACTCACACACTCTCACACACTCTCTCACACACTCACACTCAACTCTCACACACTCACACTCACTCTCACACACTCACTCACTCACACTCACTCACTCACACTCACTCACACTCAAAAACAAATAAAAACAACAAATAAAAACAGAATGGAAACCAGTGAAACATTTTGAGTAATAACACTGAATCTCTCTCACTCACTCACTCACTCACTCACTCACTCACTCACTCACTCACTCACTCACTCACTCACTCACTCACTCACTCACTCACTCACTCACACACTCACACACTCACACACTCACACTCAACTCTCACACACTCTCACTCAACTCTCACACACTCACACTCACTCTCACACACTCACTCACTCACTCACACTCACACACACTCTCACACTCAACTCTCACACACTCTCACTCAACTCTCACACACACTCACTCACTCACTCACTCACTCACTCACTCACTCACTCACTCACTCACTCACTCACTCACTCACTCACCTCACACACACACACTCACTCACACTCACTCACACTCACTCACACTCACTCACACTCACTCACACTCACTCACACTCACTCACACTCACTCACACTCACTCTCACACAACTCTCACACACTCACACTCAACTCTCACACACTCACACTCACTCTCACACACTCACACTCAACTCTCACACACTCACACTCACTCTCACACACTCACACTCAACTCTCACACACTCACACTCAACTCTCACTCACTCACTCACTCACTCACTCACTCACTCACTCACTCACTCACTCACTCACTCACTCACTCACTCACTCACACACTCACTCACACTCACTCACACTCACTCACACTCTCACACACTCACTCACTCACTCACTCACTCACTCACTCACTCACTCACTCACTCACTCACAAACACACACTCACTCACACTCACTCACACTCACTCACACTCTCACACTCTCACACTCTCACACTCTCACACTCTCACACACTCACTCACTCACTCACTCACTCACTCACTCACTCACTCACTCACTCACTCACTCACTCACTCTCACACACTCACACTCAACTCTCACACACTCACACTCAACTCTCACACACTCACTCTCACTCTCACACACTCTCACACACTCACTCACTCACTCACACTCACTCACTCACACTCACTCTCACTCACTCTCACTCACACACTCTCACACACTCTCTCACACACTCACACTCAACTCTCACACACTCACACTCACTCTCACACACTCACTCACTCACACTCACTCACTCACACTCACTCACACTCACTCACACTCACTCACTCACACTCACTCACACTCACTCACACTCACTCACACTCACTCACACTCACTCACTCACACTCACACTCAACTCTCACACACTCACACTCACTCTCACACACTCACTCACACTCACTCTCACACTCTCACACACTCACACTCACTCTCACTCACTCACTCACTCACTCACTCACTCACTCACTCACTCACTCACTCACTCACTCACACTCTCACACTCTCACTCACTCACTCACTCACTCACACACTCACTCACTCACTCACACTCACTCTCACTCTCACACACTCTCACACACTCACACTCAACTCTCACACACTCACACTCACTCTCACACACTCTCACACACTCTCACACACTCACTCACACTCACTCACACTCACTCACAATCTCACTCTCACACACTCTCACTCACTCACTCACACTCTCACTCACTCACTCACACTCACACTCACTCTCACTCTCACACACTCTCACACACTCACACTCAACTCTCACACACTCTCACTCACTCACTCACTCACTCACTCACTCACTCACTCACACACTCACTCACACTCACTCTCACTCACTCTCACTCACTCTCACTCACTCTCACTCACACTCACACTCACACTCTCACACACTCTCACTCACTCACTCACACTCTCACTCACTCACTAACACTCACACTCACTCTCACTCTCACACACTCACACTCAACTCTCACACACTCTCACTCACTCACTCACTCACTCACTCACTCACTCACTCACTCACTCACTCACTCACTCACTCACTCACTCACTCACACACTCACACACTCACACACTCACACACTCACACTCACTCTCACTCTCACACACTCACTCACTCACACTCACACTCACTCACTCACTCACTCACTCACTCACTCACTCACTCACTCACTCACACACACTCACTCACTCACACTCACTCACACTCACTCTCACTCACTCACACTCACTCACACTCACTCTCACTCACTCTCACACAACTCTCACACTCAACTCTCACACACTCACACTCACTCTCACACTCACTCACACTCACTCACACTCACTCACACTCACTCACACTCACTCACACTCTCACACACTCTCACACACTCTCACACACTCTCACACACTCTCACACACTCTCACACACTCACACTCAACTCTCACACACTCACACTCACTCTCACACACTCACACTCAACTCTCACACACTCACACTCACTCTCACACACTCACACTCAACTCTCACACACTCACACTCAACTCTCACTCACTCACTCACTCACTCACTCACTCACTCACTCACTCACTCACTCACTCACTCACTCACTCACTCACTCACTCACTCACTCACTCACACACTCACTCACACTCACTCACACTCACTCACACTCTCACACACTCACTCACTCACTCACTCACTCACTCACTCACTCACTCACTCACTCACTCACTCACTCACTCACAAACACACACTCACTCACACTCACTCACACTCACTCACACTCACTCACACTCTCACACTCTCACACTCTCACACTCTCACACTCTCACACTCTCACACACTCACTCACTCACTCACTCACTCACTCACTCACTCACTCACTCACTCACTCACTCTCACACACAACTCTCACACACTCACACTCAACTCTCACACACTCACTCTCACTCTCACACACTCTCACACACTCACTCACTCACTCACACTCACTCACACTCACTCTCACTCACTCTCACTCACACACTCTCACACACTCTCTCACACACTCACTCACTCACTCACTCACTCACTCACTCACTCACTCACTCACTCACTCACTCACTCACTCACTCACTCACTCACTCACTCACTCACTCACTCACACACTCTCACACTCTCACACTCTCACACACTCACACTCAACTCTCACACACTCACTCTCACTCTCACACACTCTCACTCAACTCTCACACTCACTCTCACACACTCACTCACACTCACTCACACTCACTCTCACTCACTCTCACTCACACACTCTCACACACTCTCACACACTCTCACACACTCACACTCAACTCTCACACACTCACACTCACTCACACTCACTCACTCACACTCACTCACTCACACTCACTCACACTCACTCACACTCACACTCACACTCAACTCTCACACACTCACACTCACTCTCACACACTCACTCACTCACTCACTCACACTCACTCACACTCACTCAGACTCTCACACACTCTCACACTCACTCTCACACACTCACTCACTCACTCACTCACTCACTCACTCACTCACTCACTCACTCACTCACTCACTCACTCACTCACTCACTCACTCACTCACTCACTCACTCACTCACACACTCACTCACTCACTCACTCACTCACTCTCACACTCACTCTCACACTCACTCTCACACACACTCTCTCACACACACTCTCTCACACTCACTCTCTCACACTCACTCTCTCACACTCACTCTCTCACACTCACTCTCTCACACTCACTCTCTCACACGCACTCTCTCACACGCACTCTCTCACACGCACTCTCTCACACTCACTCACTCTCACACGCACTCTCTCACACTCACTCTCTCACACGCACTCTCTCACACGCACTCTCTCACACTCACTCTCTCACACTTACTCTCTCACACGCACTCTCTCACACGCACTCTCTCACACGCACTCTCTCACACGCACTCTCTCACACGCACTCTCTCACACTCACTCTCTCACACTCACTCTCTCACACTCACTCTCTCACACGCACTCTCTCACACTCACTCTCTCACACTCACTCTCTCACACTCACTCTCTCACACTCACTCACTCTCACACTCACTCACTCTCTCACACTCACTCTCTCACACTCACTCTCTCACACTCACTCTCACACTCACTCTCACACTCACTCTCACACTCACTCTCACACTCACTCTCACTCTCACTCTCACTCTCACACTCACTCTCACACTCACTCTCACACTCACTCTCACACTCACTCTCACTCTCACACTCACTCTCACACTCACTCTCACACTCACTCTCACACTCACTCTCACACTCACTCTCACACTCACTCTACCTGCGTGAACTTTCTTCAGCGTCTCGTATGTAAAGAAACTGATTCCTGCGTACGGCACGACGCCGAGGATGGTGGGAGTGAAGCCCCTGTAGATCGTCTTCAGTCCCTCCTCGCGAGAGATGCGCACGAACACGTGCATGATGTTACTGTACCTGAGGACCAATGACATCAGCACACAGTGACATCACACTCTCATTCTTTACAGCAGTTCTTGCCTTCGCAAACTTCCAAGGGTGCCTCAAGACGACAAAACAAGCATTGAAAAAGCATCAAGATGTTTCTAAGTTTAATTCACCCCCCCCCCGAAACAAATGTTTGTCTTTAAGGAACCAGGATTCCCACAGTCTTGGAAAACCTGGATATCGTTGCTGTCGGGCATTTTTAGACTTTTTAAATTAAAATATTTTTTACGGGAATCCATCCGATCCCAATGGATGAATCAAAGTCTTCTGAAGCAAAAAGACTGTGTTTAAGAAAAATACTTTAACTATAAATCAATGCTTCTGGTCTCCTGTGCTACGTGTTGTGACGTTTGCGCGGTCATCCGTTACGTCTCGCACAAAAGTTCAAAACACGTTTACGTCACGGGTCACCTGTATGATTGCTCATAAGAAGCAAGAGTGAAAGTGAAGACATATGTCATTTGATTTTTTTTCTTGTTATGTTTCAGCACTTTTCTGGAATGATTCAAGTTCTTATCGTTTTTCTAAAGTTAATATGAACTGTAATTCACGCTTTAAAGACGTTATTTGTCTTTTTGAAAACCAAAACAAATCTTTATAATCTACTGTTAACTTTCTTATCCTTTATCTTCAGGTTTCTAAAGAAAATACCAACTTTTATAGATTTCTTATGTGAACTAGAATATTTAATCAAATCACTAAGAATAATTGAAAAAAAAGTACTTATTTTTTAAGAAATATGATAAGATCTTTTTTAATGTACCATAATTGATACCGGTTTTGCTGAGGGTGTTTTTGTTAGTTAGATTTTTTCTTTGTTTCATTCTTTTTCAATTTGTCAGTCTAAAAGATGTGTTTGCACTATTGTAATATTTTCTTGAAATATTAATAAAAAATAACATAAATAAAAAAACTAGACCAGAAGCAATCATTTATTCTTTTCTTTGCTTCATTCTTTTTCAATTTGTCAGTCGAAAAGATGTGTGTTTGCACTATTGTAATATTTTCTTGAAATATTAATAAATTTAAAAAATAAAACAACTAGACCAGAAGCAATAATTTATTCTTTTCTTTTCTTTGTTTCATTCTTTTTCAATTTGTCAGTCTAAAAGATGTGTATTTGCACTATTGTAATATTTTCTTGAAATATTAATAAAAAAAATAAAAAAATAGACCAGAAGCAATAATTTATTATTTTCTTTTCTGTTTAATTCTTTTTCAATTTGTCAGTCTAAAAGATGTGTTTCCCCTATTGTAATATTTTCTTGAAATATTAATAAAAAATAACAAAAATAAAAAACTAGACCAGAAGCAATAATTTATAGTTAAAAAAAGTTTAAAATACTAGTATTTTTGTTACACACACCTAGCGTTTGGCTTCAGAAGACACTGATTCATCCAGTGGGATTTTTCAAGCAATGGCATTATGTGGACTCACGGAGATGGACTATTTTCCTAAAAAAAAAATCTTCGTTTGTGTTTATCTGAAGAAAGTAAGTAATATACATCGGGGATGGCAAGTAAATGATGAGAAAATTTCATTTCATTTTTAAAAAGGTTCATTTTGATCCCTTTTTCCCCTTAAGATAGACGGATGAAACGTCTTACATTTCCTTGGGTGTGACGGCCATGCGAGCGCGGACCATGTCCAGCGGGTACGTGATCATGGCAGCCGTTGTTCCCGCCATCGAGCCCGCCAGCAGCCGCGGCACAGGCGGCAGAACTCTGGAAAACAGGACACTTTCACCATTAAAAATAATTCATCCAAAAATTTGCCCATAATTTACTCACTCTCAAGGCATCCTAGGTGTATGACTTTCTTCTTCTAACACAATTAGAGTTATATTAAAAAATATCCTGGCTCTTCCCGGCTTTATAATGGGAGTGAATGGTGCCTGAGAGTTTGAAGCCCAACCAAAAAAGTGCATCCATCATCATGAAAGTAATCTATACGACTACAGTGGGTTAATAAAGGCCTTCTGAAGTAAAGCCATGCGCTTTTGTAAGAAAAATATCCATATTTATAACTTTATAAACTATAATCACTGGCTTCCGAGTCCGAATTCTTACGCTACACCTACATCATCTGTCATGCGTGGGGTCAGAGGTCACCCTTCCACCGGAAATCAACTTTCTCTTGAACGCACGCACAGCCGTTGCCAGAAGCCAGTGATTTTAGTTTATAAAGTTAAAAATAAGGATATTTTTCTTACAAAAATGCATAGCTTTTATTAGAAGGCCTTTATTAACCCCTCTGGAGTCGATTGGATGTATGTGCTTTTTAGAGTTTCAAGCACTATTCAATGCCATTATAAATCTCGGAAGAGCCAGGATATTATTTAATATAACTATAATATGATTGTGCTCGGCTAAAAGAAGAAAGTCATACACACCTAGGATGGCTTGATGGGGAGAAAATTATTGTATCATTCACATTTTTAGGTGAGCTATTCCTTTAACACATTAAACTGTCTTGCCCGCAAAACCCGTTTATCATAATCTAAAAATAAATGGGTCATATCTAAGAAATGCATGTCTGAAATCTGCAATAAGGATGGTTGGTGTTTTTAAGGCCACACCAGCTTTCATGGCGAGTCACATGTCAAAATAAATACTGTTAAATACTGCATGTCTGTCCTGCTCAACTCATCTCTCAGTGTAAACAAGTAGTGCATTTACAACAGAAGTCTAGCAGGCGAGAATAAACTATCAAAGCATGCAACACTTAGAGCTGTGTGAAGTTATATTTAAGCTTTTAAAGGTGTCATGACATGTTAACATACATTTACAGATATCAAAAATTAACATTTCAACTAGTGAAAATTGAGTTCTTGATATCAGGAATTTATATTTTTTTACTAGTGTTTGATTATTAATGCCTGTGCATCACGCGAGTTGGACACAATAGAGGAAAAGGTTAAACGTTGAGTTAAGCCTCGATTTTGTATCGTCATTAGTAGTGTTAAAAGTTGTAAAGAGTACCAAATTGAACAAAACAGTATAACTGCAAAATTTTAATTTATGAATATCTAACGGTATTCTCGGTATCGCAAAATCCATATCATGGTACAACATAATACCAGTAGTCACGTCAATACCGGTATAGCGCCCACCCCTAATTTCTGTAGACTCCAGAAGGATCCCAGCATCAGAAACAAGTGGATGGTTTACTTTAATAGCGTCCCAGATCATGTTGGAGGATTATATGTTTGTTTAAATTTCTCATTTGTAAGTCGCTTTGGATGAATAAACGAATAATTGTAAATGCACATGTAAATGTGCAGTGGTGAAGCAGCAGTGACTCACTTGCCCTGGAAGCCGTAATGCTGTCCCAGAATCCTCTTGTATTGTTCATGTGCGCAGAACTGGATGGCAGCGTATGGAATAACGCGCACCATAGTGGCCGAGTTTCCCCTCCACAGGCTGAAGAACCCATCCTTCAGATATGTGCGGTAAATTAACCTGTACGCCTCCTGGAAATGACAAAATGTATATATTTATGTATTGTATTCAACGTGACTTACAAGTATTATTCAAGTGTATATCAGTTCATGCATTCCTAGGAAATCGAACCCATGACGTTGGTGTTGCAAGCGGGTTAGAGCTGTTTGAGCTACAGGAATACAAACATGGCATTCATCACAAAATATATGAATTCATCTGAAGTTTGACAGATATATCAAACTTTTAAATGTATACGCAAAACCACTGACATGTTAGCGCTGAAAAAAAGTTGCTTCACCTCGTAAAGTAAAACACTCACCTTAGCGGAGAATCTTTTCGACGACACTGAAATGAGAAGATGAAGAGAAATATTTAGTTTCACTTGTTATTTCAGCTAATGAAAAAACTTTTCAGCAATAAATGAACAAGAAATAAAGCACGAATATGAATTCCTGTGAAACATTTATTGTGCAACTACAAGGTTTATTTACAAAACTAAGGGATTATATTCGTACATCGTCCTTCTTCAAAATGTCTGAATGTCTTTGCATCGGATCAAGCGTCCGAATCTGTATTCGTCTCAAATTCTGCAGGATCTTTTCTCAGTGTGACATTAACTGAGATCTTACAGTGTGACATTAACTGAGATCTTACAGTGTGACATTAACTGAGATCTTACAGTGTGACATTAACTGAGATCTTACAGTGTGACATTAACTGAGATCTTACAGTGTGACGTGGCTTACAGCGATGATCATGTTCGTACAGTCTGACAAGCTACAATCGTAAAGGACCATAATAAATCGCACAGTGTGCACCCGGCTTAAAGGGATAGTTCACTTTGAAATTAATTTTTGGTATGTTTTAGCTTACCTCAAGGGCATCCAAGATGTAGGTGTCTTTGTTTCCGCAGTAGTTTCAATTTAGATATTTTTAGGTCAAACCGTTCTTGTCTGTCAGTCATATAATGCAGGTCTATGGTCACCACCTCAAAGAGCATGCACAGAGAAGTCCAAATTAAACATGATTTAATGACTCGTAAATGTAAGTACACATTGATGGCGTAAGACACGAAACGAGCGGTTTGTGCGAGAAAACGAACAGTATTTATATCGTTTTTACCTCTTGTAACCACAGCCACGTCCAAGTGATCTGAGGGCGCCGGCGCTTCGGTCTGCGCAAGCGCTGGAAGTGATCTCTCGCGCGTGTACGTCACTCATTGTTTACACAGAGATTTCAGAAGTGCAGTGTTTCCCCTACCATCGCGATGTAGACAAGTGTGTGTGGATATTAAACCACAAAGACAATTTAAATACGAATCCTGCTTGTTCTGTGTGAATGAATGGTGCAGCCGACGCAGTTTCATTTACCACACACACACACACTGAAGCACATGTGAACTATAAATAATTTAGATATGTCCCAATGTAATAATACTAACACTAATCCAAATAAATTATCATCAAAACTGAATTTAAGGAATACTCCATGTTTTAATTTTAACAGTAAAGCTCATTGTGCAGCATGTTATTTGACAAAAATTTAAATTTAATTTCATTTGATTAAAATTGATGATAAATGATAAAATTTGTGTTTTATGTCTTCATTTTATTACCAGAAAAAACACAACAACAAAACAATTTTTTTTCATATTTTTTTTAAATGTTGTATACGTTTAATGATTCATAATACACTATTTCAATTAATTAGACATGCTTTTTGATTGCTAAAAAATTTACACCACGTATCCGTAACACGCCCGCTCCGCAACACTAGCAGTCCCCCCCCCCCTTTGAAAAAAAATCCTAGGGGAAACACTGAAGTGTTACATTTCACTGTGAATATCTAAACATATTTAGATAAACAGGAAATCGCAATGGAAGAAGATTTCGATATATCAACAGACAACGTTGAATTTTTTTCGCGTTGAACCGCGCGAGAGATCACTTCCGGCGCTTGCACAGACCGAAGCGCCCGCGCCCTCAGATCACTTGGACGTGGCTGTGTTTACAAGAGGTAAAAACGATATAAATACTGTTCGTTTTCTCGCACAAACCGCTCGTTTCGTGTCTTACGCCATCAATGTGTACTTACATTTACGAGTCATTAAATCATGTTTAATTTGGACTTCTCTGTGCATGCTCTTTGAGGTGGTGACCATAGACCTGCATTATATGACTGACAGACAAGAACGGTTTGACCTAAAAATATCTAAATTGAAACTACTGCGGAAACAAAGACACCTACATCTTGGATGCCCTTGAGGTAAGCTAAAACACACCGAAAATTAATTTCAAAGTGAACTATCCCTTTAAGTGTATTTTAAGTGTTTAAAATACTTTAGTGCCCTGCAAATGTGTAAAGTCGGTCACTCAAGGAGGGTTAGTAAGAGTTGTTCTTGCCTTGGAAGATAATCTTGGTTCGATCCAGTGGAGCGACGGCGGTTTTAGCCACGGCTCCTGCAAACGCCCCCGAGAGCAGAGAGTTCAAGACCGACCGACCCTGTTTAAAGCCCTACACACACACACACACACACACACACAGATTAGTTATGATTCATGAATATTTTCACGTATTACCAAATAAAACCAAATAAACCCAGTGTTAATCAGTAAGAATGTGATGGAGTAAACATGTCCAGGCATGACCACATACTGTGGCTTCTGGGAAGGACACAAACCTTCCCTCTAATCTTTATAAAGCAGAACAGGTTTATATTCACGCTCTTAATCCGTTTCCACACACAAACCCATGACCTGAATACCAGTTTTATTTAATCAAACCTCAAGTCCCAGCATGCCGAACGACTGAATGATACAGACTACAGATTAATCCGCCATGTTCATCATAATATGAAGGATCTAACATTATCCTGTACCTCATAGAAGCAATTAAAAATGAAATTAGTCTAAATATTATTAACAAATGCATGCACAATTATCCATGACAAGCTTTATAAATATTGCAAATGTATCTTATAAAGCTCATGGATAATTGTGCATGCATCTGTTAATAATTTTGAGACTAATTTCATCCCATACTATGGCAATTTGAGGGGGGGGGGGGGGATGCGAATGTAATTGTGTTTACGGCAAGTTTTGTGATTATATATCAATACGGCTAAAAATTATTATTATTACTTATTAAAAATATAAAAATGACTAAAATGTAGTATTTGATAATTGAAACTAAGTCATATTGCGATTTTGGTTTTATTTCAATAAATTGTTCCTTTCTAATCCGGACACTTTAACTGTAAATGGGATTTACTGTAAACAAGACAATCAGCAACCCACATGGAAATAAAAATAATGCAAAATAATGAATTACGGTCATGATAATAACTATAATAACAGATAACTGAAACAGAAACGGACTCTTATTCTAAATATAAAGGTGTATGACATTATTTTGAGCATGAAATCGTCCCACGTTTCTGGAAAATCGTAGATTAAATAAAAACAGAATTACAATATTCTTTTCCAACACTTAATAATCAAGTATGCAATAAGGCTCAAGAGGTCAAAGTGCAAATACAGGCTGTGGTTAAACATGACATGCAGTGAATATATTCACATTAGAACACTCTCAAGTGTCTTATTGTTATTATAAAACATTCATTACATGATACATTCATTACAAATGTTACTTTATTGCGTTACTGCTGGAACACTAGATTGACCAATCAGGAGACAGGAACAGGACTACATGAAACATTAAAGCACACAGTGACTCTACAGAAGAGTGAGCGATTAAAGAAAACACTGGAAAATACTACGGTTATCTAGAGATAGACGATTCTTCCAACGGACATTTAATCCCAAGATCATTGATGGAGAGCTGAACCCATGACTGAAGCTCAACTTGTAAATAGATGATGAGGTCACACATTTTCCACTCATAAAATGGACAATCCGTCCATTTAAACGGGTATTAGATGTTAAAATGTTTTCTTAAATCTTAACCCTACTGCGTCATATTTGATATGCAGATTTCGAAGGACTCTAAATGATACAAACTTTGATTAAAAACCTGTTGCACACAATCTACTACAGTCCTTCTTGTCGTCTGATTTGACTTTATTTTTATATTTTTGTTTATTTATCATCTCTCATGTATTGCATTGCATTATATGCTTTAAAAATACAGAGCTTTGATCATAAAACTAAGCATTTAAATATCATCTGACTAAGACATTGGGAGATATAGAGACGACTGATATTTACATGCATTTTATGCAAGTGTTTTGTCATGATGTTATTCAGACCTCATTAATTTACATTACAAGCATAAGAATTTCATCTTACGTTTGTGCATATAAATAACACTATCTGCACCAAATTCCATATTTTTGCTAAGTTTGGGCCTCTGAATAAAACTGAGCAGTTTTTTCCTCCATATTCTCACTATATCAGACGATTTGAGCCATAAAAGCCTGATGTATCAACAAAAAACACATATGCAATAGATATATTTTGTCTAAAGTTTCAATAAACGGTTTCAAAAATAGACTTATTTCCTTTGTCAGGCTTTACAGGGTTAGTCTCAACTGAGTAATTCATTTGTGGTTTGACTTCCTGTAGACTGTAAACACTGACGCTTTCACAATAAATCTTCTGTTCTTCCTGTTCCACAAATAAAGACCAGCCTGAAACGCCTCACAACCCGGTTTTTACATCTGCATTCTTTAACAACACAATAAATGTGGATTGATATGATTACTGTGCAATTATTTCTACAGAAATACAACAGTTCTGTCATCATTCACAGGCCCGAATCCTCGTCATCATCGAGTCATCATCATCATCATTTAAAATGTGAACGTAACCCTTGTGCCGAGTTGAAAACCCTGCAACACTTTTGGTGTCCCCGGTCAAAAATGACCAGCCTTTTGAAAAAAAAAAATAGCTTTTAAATCTCTCGTTATGCTTTATCATGACTAAATATTAGATTCAGTCTTTTTTGTCAAATTGTTTTCATTCAATTAGCACTGGTTTTGTATTTATTTTTTTAAACTGACTGATCGTAGGCCTCATTGATCTGAGCCAGGGATGGAAATTAGCACCCGCCACCAGCCAAATGCGGGTGATTTTGTGTTGTGGCGGATAAACTCGCTTCACCTACCGGCCACCGTGGCGGGTAAATAAAAATAGCATACTGTTTCACCCGGACGGCGGACACTTTTAGAGGAGGCACACCTTCAAACAAAATGTGGCGTTACATCGCAGGCGTAGAGGTCTGCAGAGAAAACATCATGGTGCGTTCACACCAGAGAGAATAGAGCGTCTGGCGCGAGTGATTTCATAACGGTACTGATCCACTTGTCCGTGCGACACTTCAGTCGCGCCGCACTCCACTTTATTCCTATGGGTGACGTCACGCGACTTTAACGCGCCCCCAAAGCATCCCGGGAAGGCGGCGCTTCATTTGGAAAAATGCTGCGCGTCAAAAAGCTGGCCGATGCCCAGCTTTATGCAAATGAATCCGTCAAACGCGACGCGTCTATCCAATAGAAGTAGTCTCTCGAGGGGCCTTTGTTCTAGACTGGCCGCTGGGTCAAAACCACGCCCATAGCGGAAAACTTGAGGAACGCGCATCAACTTACAAATGTGGAGAGGGTGCGACACCACGCTTCAGTCGTGTCGCAAAAGTGGATCAGTACCGTCACGGTACTGATCCACTTGTCCGTGCGACACTTCAGTCGCGCCGCACTCCACTTTATTCCTATGGGTGACGTCACGCGACTTTAACGCGCCCGCAAAGCATCCCGGGAAGGCGGCGCTTCATTTGAAAAAATGCTGCGCGTCCAAAAGCTGGCCGATGCCCAGCTTTATGCAAATGAATCCGTCAAACGCGAAGCGTCTATCCAATAGAAGTAGAGCATATGGAGACGGGGGGAAGTCTCTCGCAAGTCCTCTGTTCTAGACTGGCCTCTGGCTCAAAACCCCGCCCATAGCGGTAAACACGAGGAACGCCCATCAATGTACAAATGTGGGGAGGCGTCACGACACCACGCTTCAGTCGTGTCGCAAAAGTGGATCAGTAACGTTAGTCAATGCAAAGACGCGTTACGCGCGTAAAAAATTCCTGCGGCGCGAATGAGGTGTAGAGCGCGCCGTGGTAGATGCGAATACGCCTCATTCGCGCGGCAAGTTCGAGCGTCTGACGCGTTCCGCGCGCATGATTTTATTGAGTGCTTTTGTGCATTCACGCGTTTGACGCGAATTCGCGTCTGCCGCCCGAGTTGAAAAATCTGAACTTTGGCGTCAATTCGCGCCGCGTTAACCAATCAGGAGCCTAGCTGCTGTCACGTGGTGAAGTATCTGGATGCTTCAATAAATTATTTTGTACTAAATGCCTGATGTGGTTCTAATGCACAACAAAGCAAATATTTTATCACATAAAACTTGATTTCAATATATGAGACATATTCATTTTGTATTGAATGCTATTTATTCCATTTCATATCTAGATTACATTAAATATTATTCTAATGTAAAGGCAACCAACATACTATAGCTCATAAATCCGTGTCTGGAGAGTGTTGTGTGAGAGAAAAAAAAAATCACAGGACAGGTTAATTACTTTTGGAGGCTGGCTCAATTTATCATCAAAACAAAAATAAATGACAGATTAGGTGGATGAGGCCGAGGGTGAGAGAAAGAGAAAATGTCAGTATTTCATTGAGACTTGAGATTAAATGAACTGCTTAAGTATTCTTGTAGTATTAATTTTCACATGCAGTTACACATTGTCGGTTAAAAACAAGAAAGTGGCTGGTAAAAACATTGAGTGGCTGGTAGATTTTGAAATCCAGCAGCCACAGTGGCCGGTGGACAAAAAAGTTAATTTCCATCCCTGATCTGAGCTTATGCATCTCAGTTTATGAGTGAAAAAGGCATTATTTGTGGATAAATTTGTGAATATTATTCAACAAAATATGGGAAACACTACGGTGCTTTAATGTTTAACCAGGAAGTTTGTTTTCAAATACTTTTATTTTGTACAAAATGGAACTGTAAATTGTTATCTGATACTTATTATACAGATACATTTTATTAAATATTGCCAAAATAACCCCAAAATAATGTTTTTTTGGTAAAAAAATTTAGGCTCATAAGCGCAAATGAAGGAGGCCTACGATCAATCAGAGCCAAAAAGAAATACAAAACCTGTGATAATTGAAAGAAAACAAGTTGACAAAAAAGACTGAATCCAATATTTGGTGATAATATAAAGTATAAATGAGTGATTTATACAAGAAATGTTGTAGGCCGGTCATTTTTGATACAAGGTGAGGGGGGGGAAAAAAACACAAATTCTCAATTTTTTGAAAAGTAGTTTCACCCTGGGTGAGTAAAGTCATTAAGTTTTAGTCCAATGTTATAACGTTACCTAGCATTTTCGGGAAAAAGAAAATCCTCTCCAGGACAAAATGACACGAACACAACCAATCAGTCGGAACCAAATGGTGCAACCTTACTGGCTGTTCTCTGCTGTGGGCGTGTCCAGAAGTGAGTGTTCTTACCTCTGATTGGCTGGGGGCGGGGCGTGGCAGCACTTCACCCGGTGCCAGCGCCCCCTGGCGCTCCTGAACTGCATTACCCATGCCAACCTGATCCATTCATACAGGCCAGCACACCGGGGGCTCGCCGGCCGACACACTCACACCACACCTGGAGACACACGAGATTAATATTAGAAATGTACATCACATCATATCCACCGTTTTCCTAACAAGCCTACCGCGTTTTAGAGTATGGGTCAACTCAAAAAGACTGAAACAAATCATTTCAAAACATAAGGTTGCGCTACAAATATCCTTATCCGTCAGCTGTGAAATGTCCTTCATATTCTCGTGTTCAGACTTTAAGAGAATAACGTAACGCTTGGTATTTTAATGTGATGTGCAATGACGAGATCTTTTCAATCGCTGAAATCTATTCCTCTTGATTATTATTTTTTTCTTTGTATTCCGCTGTAACAGTATGAAAAAAGACAACATATATAGGCATTAGTGATGCACGATATATTCATTTTTAATGTTATTGGCCGATATCTTAAAGCTGATAAATAATGTATTATTTCCTTCAGATGAGACACTGTTCAACATGATGGTTTTAAATTGCTTGAAATAAGTTTGTCATATTGGCTAGATAAAATTGTAATGAGAACATCGTGCTTGGGACATGGTGAGACTTTTGTTTTTGTAATCAGGCTCTCAAAAATTATATACAATTTTGATTTATCGGCCAATATATCAGTTATCGGCTTTCAAATTTAAAGAATAATCGTTGCCAAAATTTTAATATCGGTGCATCATTACTGGGCATCTGTGTTCTGCTCTGCTTAATTTATATTAGATCGCATTAATATTTCACTGTAAGAATCTTTAATTTTTCTCCCTGAATCCTCACATCTCTTTCCAGGTTTGTTTTTCACACGGATGCTTTAAAATGTAATTGTCTCCCCTTTCCACTTCTAATATTAGCAGCGTTACTGTAATGTTTCTAAGGCAGGTAAATACAATGTTTATTCTCTATCAAAATAACAAAAATCATTTTGAAATATTATCAATGATCCAGTTATTGAACATTTTTGACTGTGGCAACGTATGTTACATAACACAGACGTATATTAATTATACAGTGATATTTAACACGTCTGTAATATTCCTGAAGAAATAAATCAAGCTTTTGGGGTTATTCATGGTCTAATTTGTGAATGATTTTACACTTTTTTTGCACTAGAAAAAAAGCAAATCTTGCAAATAATCCTACAAAAAGATTTTTTCTTTTTTGATTTTGAAGTGACATCTTTTTATGTGATTATCTGACTATGTGTATTACCAATCATATTCACAAGATTTTCATCACAAGACAGATTTCACCATAAATGGCAAATACTGAATTATTAAGCGGTCTGTATTCAATGAACAGTTTTGATGAAATAAAAATTCACTCATTCAGCAAATAAAAGGCAATTGATTCCCAGAAGCGGGTCAGAGGAACTGATATGTGACGTGCCGACAGGAATCCAGAAGCGCCAGGATCAAATAACATCTGAAAGGGTCACACAGATGGACCTCTAATAATAGCTCGAATCCTGAATTATTCAAGGTCCTGAAAGCCTGTGAGAGCAACACAGCTTAATATAGCATACAACTTTATGTATTCTTCTGAGTAATAATCTATGCATGATTTATTCTGCTAATGGTTCTGTGACACTAGTTAGCAGCACAATAATAAAAGAAGTGATCAAGAAGACATTCACACTGACAATAAGGTGTTGAGCTTCAAAAACTCGGGCACTATTCAATGCCATCACAAATCTGGGAAGAGCCAGGATATTATTAATATAACTCGGATGAAAGAAGAAAATCATAAACACCTAGGAAGGAAATTATAGGATAATTTTCATTTTTGGGTGAAATATTCCTTTAAACAGAGTCCATTCGGGCTCTTAGTCAAAAAGTGTGAATATTTGGAGAAATATTGATTTATTATCACATGTTTGCGAAATATTTCATCATACAGAATACCATTTCTATTCATGTTTCACTGAATTATGCGATGTGAAGAGCTGAAAGAGCGTTGGCTCTCATGTTAGGTTTGATCGGAAGTTAATACAAACATTCGATGTTGTTTTAAAGTGAGTTTTGAGTAAAAGGGTAATATTATTTCAGATAATAGGTGGATTAATGTATACAAAGTGGTAATAAAGGCTATAATAAAGGCTAATAATGGCTAAAATACAAACAAAAGAATAATGATAAAAGAATAATGGTGATTCCGGCAGAGGTGCGAAAGGTTCGTCGAGCGAGAACAATAGAACGAGCATTTGTCCTCGCCAGATGTTAGACAATAGCTTGCAAATGGGTGTGTCACCCCCCTTTTTTTTGAATATACATGAAAATGCACATTTCGAACTTAAATGGTTATAATTCAAGAATGCTTTGGAATATAGATGTAAGATTGGTATCGTTTTAAAGACGACATTTGGCAGATTTTTGTAGAAGTAAAATAAATTAAGAAAGTGAAACAGAAAAAAAGTTATAGAAGTTTGAGTTTATGAACATGTACAATGTGAAAAATTTAATTATTCATATTTTATATAAAATATATATTTTCAAAACCTGGTTGGCTCTAAAACTGCAGAAAAATAAAAGCCAAAAATCTGAACAAGTTGTGTTTCAAATTTTAGGTTGATATCTCAGTAAATGAGCTTTCAGTGAGAGTGTGTGTGTGCGCAGTACCGAACGCTTCCACTAGGGTACAGACTCATCACTGCCCATATAAGGGCGCCTCCATTTCCATATATGTTTTGAGTGATATGAACCATTATTTCCACAATTTTCATACAATCTATGAAGTAGACATCCTATTCAGAAGTAATATGAGAAGTTTGGCAGATTTTGATCTGAATTCAACCTAAGAAACACAAAAAGAACACGCATGTGCGTTATAGCTCGCCGCCACATCACAAATGGTGAATCTATCATTTTTTTCTTTATATTGAAAAACATTTCAGACCTTTTTTTCTAAAACAATTGAACCTTTTGAACTCTTGGCATGAAAACAAACTGAGGTTTCTACCCTTCTTTCATGATTTTTCATGTTCATCACTATTTCAAAATAAAGGTCTAAACATGCCTTAGGAGTATGAAAATATTCTTGTTGCAAATTGATAAATTACGGCTCCTCTGTAATTTATTTTGAAAATGATATATAGTTTGTCAAGATTAGTTTAGGTTTAGTATAGGATATTACTGTTTTAAAAATGTAATGGATTTGGGCCCACCGGTGGGCCGGTGACACTTAAGAGGTTAAAGGGCAATAAAATATTTTTTTAGCATCTTATCAGCCTTCGCTAAAAACTCACATGAACATGGTCTTGGGAAATGCTTCATAAAATGCAAAATTTTTGAGATATCATCCTCAGATTTGAAATAAAGCATGAGCAGACTTGTGGCTTCAGTTTAATTGTCGTTATAAGTTGTTATACCACATACACATAATATTTTTATTAGTGCTCGGCCGTTATCGGCGTTAACGTGCTGCGTTAACGTGAGACTCTTATCGGGCGATAAAAAAAATATCGCCAGTAATCAAAGTTGGGTTGGGATCATAAATAGCTTTTTCGAATATCGTTATATTTTCGCGCAATTCTAATGTGTAGTATGACGCCGCGCCTACTGTCACAGATCGCGCAGTAGGGTATTTTCCTGTCAGGGACACAAGGTGTACTTTTACTTTGTTACGTTGGGTGACGTTCCTCTCGTTACTTTATTTTAATGCAATACGTTGTTAAATGAGTTTATTCCAAGCGCGCTGTGTCCTTTGTATGGGCATGAGCGATGCTCATTTACAAATGAATCACTCTTTTGAGTCGATTCTGTTCAAAGACTTCATCAAACAAGTTGTCAGATGATCTGTCTAAATCGGTTCGCGAATCAGTTGATCTGTTCAGTTCCTTGCGCACTGAATCGTCTGAAGCGCTTTCAATTCACACTCGGAGTCGAAACAGGAAGATTTAAAGTCCCACTCCGATCATATTTTGAGCTATTTTTAAACATTCCCAGTGGTCTTTAAATTATGATTATGCCATTTTTAGCCAAAATCACAAAACCTGTGCCGTTTTCTGGGACTTCGCTTCAGCAGAGCGGCAGTTGCTCATTAGCAATTCGCCTCTGCGTTGTGGGCGGAGCCGTTGGCACGGAGACGCCCCTCCCCCTGCCCGTTGCTGAGAGCTCTGTCTCTCCCGCTAGCTTACATCCCCAATACCGGTGGGGCAACAGTATTATATACAAGTTCATTATTATTATCCGAAGTTAATCAGAGTTATCACAGATCACCGATCATTATTTCACTCCAAGACGTCGCGTGTGGAGACGCCCAGTGGAGTTACTATGTCACAACTCCAGTCTATTTTAGCCGGCATTTTAGCGTCTGCTACTGACTCAGAGCCATTTGAATGTAGAAATACTCAGAAATACAACTTTGAGCTGATTTTTCTCAAGATATGTCCTCTAACATCAGAAAAATGCCACAAGAACATGTTAACACCTAGAAAAACATTATTTTCATCGGAGTGGGTCTTTAAGAGCATCAAGAGCGTTGGATGAAGTGGCCGATCTACAGTCTAGTCTAGTGAATGCAAATCTGCAAATGCATCATATTTTTGCCAGCGATGAAGATCTTTATTAGTTGAACATCTTCGTAAGCTGTCTGTGAATGAATGATTCCACAGGACGATACATTCGATTTCATTTCATTCAGGTAATACATTGTGTGTGTATTGCGCGTGTATTGCGCAGTGGTATAATCACACGAATAGTTTACATTGATTGAAACTAATTTGTTTAAAAATGAGGCTATTGCAGTAACAAGGCAGGTTCACATAAAATTCTTATGACATATGATGACATTATTTTTTGATCTAACGAGCATTGGCGATGGAAAAACGGACTGTCGTGCGTATTGTTTTTTTTCTTCTTCCAATTAGCCTACTATGTTAAAAAAAAGGACGAATACATGTTACTTGTTCAATTAATAAACAGTTTGTTTGATGACAAATCGCTAAAGATGAAATTGGCCTCCCTTTCTGTCATTGCGGGTTTTTTTAACGATATTCGACTTTTGCTCCTCGATTGTCGAATGGCATTTTTGGCAGAAATGCACATCCCTACGCGAGGCAAACTATTCTCAAAGACTTACTTTTAGTCATTATTTGGGTAGCACACATATTCTGAATGCCTTCGGGAGAATTCAAATGAGCCATTTTAATCTAGATTAATCTAGATTAATTTCAATATTAATCTAGATTAAAAAAAAGAATCTATGCCCACCTCTAATTTTTATACAGTTAAAAATATATATTAATTTATATTTTTATTTTATGTTTGAGCGAATGAATGAATGAATGAATGAACGAATAAAATGAATGAGGCATTTATATATATCTCCATATGAGTAATTCTTGAACTGTAAACTCTTAACTGTTAAAGGGGTGGTATAATGCGCTTTTCACAAGATGTAAAATAAGTCTCTGATGTCCCCAGTGTGTGTATGTGAAGTTTTAGCTCAAAATACCCCACAGATATTTTTATATAGCATGTTAGTTGTCACTTTTTGAGGGTGAGCAAAAACACACAGTTTTTGTGTCTGTCCCTTTAAATGCAAATGAGCTGCTGCTCCCGGCACAGGGGGCGGAGCTTCAACAGCTCGTGTCCTTTACCTCACACACACACATGCACTGAAAAATGTTCAAACCGGAGTCAGAAAGATGGAGAGACTCGAGAAGAAGTGACAACATTTCTGAATGGTTAGTTGGTGAATTTATGTCGCTTATGTGTCTATCTTCTAGTCATTGATTAGCATATTCTGTCTTGATAATCTATAAATCGTGTTCCGGGGGCGGGGTTTATGTAAATTTTAGGGTTTGTGATGTCACTAACCCGAGAGGAAGCTTGTGTAGTTCTACCAGCCGTTTTTTGTAGTCCTAAAAAAGCAAATATCTCCCTTTGCTTTGAACTTTGAGCGTCGTAACTTTGCAGATGTTGTTTATGCTCAAACAGCAACACTACACACTAACTAAAGTTAGAAAAGTGAAATCATATTCAACCACCCCTTTAACTTTCTAAATATATATTGGTTATGTGTCTATTCAGAATGAATTATGAGCAGCCACTTTTTATGTTGGGTATGTCATTTATGGCCTACTTGTCAAAATGGGGGGTGTCTACTAGTAAGGGGTTAAAGACAGGAGAAAAGCTGAGGTCTATTCTCTGCGTCGAGGTGAACTGGAGCCAGAAGCTCAGTGTGTGAAAGGTCCTTCACGCTGACACACATTCAGTGCACACACACACACACACACTAAACCCCTGCAGACGGCATGTCACATGTGAAGCGCTCGATCACACCTGACTATTCAGAATGACTTTAGTAATTCACGATTAGGCCTTTCACGCTACAGATTAACAGCTTTTTAAACCCTGCAACATTTCACAATTGAGATTTTCATGCATGAAACTGTCATTTTTAATCTTCTGTAAACTCATTTTGCTTTCCATGTTTCACACGGTTCATACAAATTGTTGAGAAAACTTAAAAGTCCCCCTGTGGTGAAAATCCAGCTTTTAATGTTGTTTATGTGTCTATGTGGTGTTTTTAATACGCTTTAAGACAAACCATGTGTAAGTTCATAAGTCGACAGCATTGCTGAGTATTTTCTGCTTAAAACTGCAGTGAACCAAAGACAGTCTCAAAAACACGGTTTGAAATCGCTGGTGTTTCTGACGTCACAAACGAAAAAACTTTTAAATATGTAATTTTGGTGGTCAAAGATAAAATTAGGCTATTGACTACAGGGGGACTTCAATGCAACTTGATGCACCTTGACACAAATCTATACAATAACAATAATCCTATAACAGTAACTAATTAAAGTTATATTTATAATTGTTCAGGGACAACATTTGTGGGATTCTGTTTATCTAAAATGGGTTTTTATGTAGATTAAATTTATATTTCTTAGTATGTGCATCTCAAACGTTCCTGTAAGCTGGAAAATGTTTAGTTACTTTTTTTTCTTTTTTTTTACAGTGCATCACAGGGTAAAACAAAGCAAGATAACCTAGGATTGTTAACCCAGGGTTAAAAATTAAGGACACAGGGTTAAAGGATCTCAAGTGTGAAAGGGTTTTTTAACGATTAGGTCACCAAAGCAACTGATCTGTTTTCTCATTGGGTTGAAGTGTGGGACGATTTCCAACACCCCTCCCTCCCGCTCGCCTCACTCTTTCCCAGTCTTTTATGTTCCCTGAGGATCGGATGACAGACACACTGAAAGCCTATTGTGATTTGCAAAGAGCGAAAATGCAGACAACCAACAAAAATAACGACAATGTTTAACAAACGGTGAAAGTATAAACACAAGAAACATCTTATATGGAACTGCACACAGTAATGCATGCATAAAAATGGCTTAAAAACTGATGTTTACACGCAAAGATGATTATGATCATATTCCAAATATGAATATATATGTGCATGGAATCCTACAATTTAAAAGGCAGATACTGCATACATTTTTATGTATATATACATTGTTACTTTTTTTCTACTCACTTATGTATAAGGCTATTTATTAAAACCAATTGTTGTTTATTCCATTTAAAACATTTTTATTTTATTTAATCACTATTTTTATTATTTATTTGGTTTAATCTTGTTTTTTTAAACTGTTTTTCTCACAAATTTTCCACAGACCCCAGCTTGATGTGTTATTTATGAAACATTACATAAGATTTCTCTTGTTGGAACATCAAAACAGATATCAAATATAACACACTAGCAGGCCAACATCAGCCAAAAAATACTTATTTATGAAACATATCAATCATTTTACGTTGTCTATTTTGCTAAATCAGCCAAGGATTATATCTTACCAAGTAAAAGCATCAAATAGAAAATAACGTTACCTCTCATCACCAATAGACTATAAATGCTTGTTTATGAAACGTATCCAGATTAATTTGCAACCACTGAGCATGTAAATCCATCAAATAAAACACTTATCAACACCAAAACAGATCATAAATGCCTTTTGTCCTCAAACATACCATGATTGTTTACATTGTTTGTTTAGCAAAATGACGTCAACTGAAAATGGTCCATTGTTAAATATTTACTCGGAGACAGAGATGAACTCATGACACAATTATCAAAGTCAATATCAAAGTGCTTTAGCCTTTTAGCCAGTTAGCAAAACAACTGTTATTAGCATTAAATTTCAATGGAGCTTCTGGCTTACCTGACAGTCTGACTGACAGCACCTGTTGTAACTCTGCGGAAAAATCGAGAGAAAAACACCAACTTTAGCGAAATCTGATGGCAGTCTTCTCAAACATTCCTATGGTGTTGGACTACTGACCTCATAAACAAACATATGATGAAGTGATAAACTCCAGTCACCATCCACTTACATAAACAGTAGCCAGTCACCATCCACTGACATAGAAAAACAAGCTCGCGTCAAACCACACGAGTCAGTTCTGCAGGAAAGCTAGTTAAACACATTTTACTCCACTTTCATTGCTGCTGCTGTGACTTTGAACTGGTATACTGGCACATTTCACGCGTCTGCTGTGCTGTCACACTAGCATGCGAGCGTTGAAGGGCGAGTCCGGGTGCATTGTGGGAGTTGTAGTCCAGAACGGGAGCGCGCTTGACGTGGATAGGCTCGCTCGAGGGGCGTCAAAGCGGGTAAACATTAGAGAGGGTGGGGTTTGAAGTTTCAGTGAGAATAGTGCTTAATTTTAACATAAATAAGATTTTGCCGATAGATTGGCAAGAATAAAACCTGCTGTCGTCTTGATTCCCGTTCTTTCCGACAATAAAGCATGCGACGAGCTGGTAATCACGACTTAACAAGTGGGAAAGTAGGAAGTTTCCGATAGCACGTGAATGCAGCGTAAAAGTCTGTAATGCTGAGAAAGGCGTGGACATGATACCATGGTATTATCATGGAGTGGCATATAACTACTATGGTAATCAGAACAGTATGTATTGTCAGGGAGTGACACATAATGACTATGGGAATCAGATTCAGAACAGGACCATAGTATACATCAAATATACAATATTATATCAGATCAGATGTACTATAATAGTGGCACTTTATTTATATGCACTGAAGAAACAGTATTCTTTTGCAGAAAAGGGTTTGTAGTGTGTTGTATATTTTTGTCATTTTATTTACTTAAAAAAATGTATGTAGTCTTTATTATTTTTATTTAAGTTTTAGTTATTTTCGTTACATCAAGTAAAACTAAATTAAATAAAACTAGCTGAAATAAAAGTTATTTTAATATTTAATTATATCAAGTTAAACTAAATTAAATAAAAGTAGGTGAAATAAATATTAAAATAACTTTAGTTTCAGCTATTTCTAAAAAAAAACTAAGATTACATATTAAAATAAATGTTTACTTATTTAAGTACATCAAGTTAAACTAATAATACTAGCTGAAATGAAAATTATTTTAATATTTAATTTGAGTTATTTTAGTACATCAAGTTAAACTAAATGAAATAAAATATAGCTGAAATAAATGAAATATTAAAATAACTTTCATTTCAGCTAGTGTTATTTCTAAAATAACTAAGATTACATATTAAAATAACTCGTTATTTTAGTACATCAAGTTAAACTAAATGAAATCAAACTACCTGAAATGAAAGTTATTCTAATATTTAATTTAATTTATAATATATAATTTTTAAGGTGATTTTATTTCAGGTATAACAGAAGTTATTTATGGTTTTGGTTTTAGTTTTAGTTAACTATTAAAAAGTACTCAAGTGTCTTATATATCGTTAGAATCCTTGGCTAAAAACGAACAACACGTGGATTTGATCGTCACTTTGGCAAAATTTTCAGGTATTTTGAATTTTTTCGAAAAACTTACTTTTGCAGTCCAAGTTTTTTTGCACGATCGGAACCAAACCAACGCAGAAAGATTCTCAGGCTTGCCAATAGTAAACAAAAAAAGTTGAAATTTGGATTCACGTCCGTGACAGGACGCCAAAATGGTCGAAGTGGGCGTGGCCACTTTTACTTAAACTGCTATCCATCTTGAACGGAATGAGAAAACTTCCCCAAATTTGGTACACCTATCTATGGACTCGGTCTGTGGTCACATGAAAAAGGATGCAGTGACTGGCCACTTGATGGCGCTATAAAATGAAAAAAACAAACAAACATGTAAATGGCTAAAGCTACACAACAGTCAGTCCTATTGAGTTGAAAACTTGCAAGTGGTGTCTTTGTCCAAGGTGCCGTGATTGTCTATGAGGACATTCGCGTATCTCGAAAAACATGCCCGTCGTTGGCCAATGAAGTTTTAGCGGCTGTCAGAAAAGAGGCCGACCGAAACGAAACTTGCGGGGCCTATTTGACTCACGGCTCTACAGGCCTGTGGTATTTGTTTTAAATCGGCCACCAAAGGGCGCCTTTGCATCTTTTTCCATACAAAGGATTGTATTTCACCTGATTTTTCGCACACACCATGAAGTACAAATTCTTATTCTAAGCAATTTTGCCCATAGAACTGCCGCTGTCAATCAAACCGTTCGTTAAATATTGGAGATTATTTCAACAACCCATTTTCGTGAACTGGTCCTAGGTTTCCGGCTCAACCGTGAAAATTGATAAAAAGCTTTAAAACATATATTTCCTAAGTAAATAACCTGATTTGGCTGTAAATGGTCTTTTCCATCTATGATCTAGTGGTTACAGGCTTGCTAAATAAAACATAATACCTTTTTTTGCATGTGCTTAAAAGCCTTAAAGCACTTGAACCCTTATAATTGCTGCTTGCAGCTATATTTTATTTTGATTTTACAGTTGCAACTATTACAACATTAACTTATTAATTTACAATGTACATTTTTGTAGCGGAATATTAAGCTGGCCACTGTAAAATCATAAAGATGTGTAACATAAACATGCCAATATGCCTCTAGAGCTGCTTGGTTTAATCAACAAACACAATCGGTTCTAGTACAGAGCAGGTTTAAACAGAGCATCAATTAGTATTGCAACACATACAATTGAGAAAACATTGGTGCCTCTTAACATGTCTTGTTGTGTGCATGAAATGTTTTTTTGGCATAAGCATCAAATGCACTGCAGTGAACGCACATATGGGGTACGGCGCTGGATGATGGTCTTTACATTAAATATATTAAGGGTTAAATGCAATCCAGCAATGCACTTCTGTTAACATCAGCTCAAATGAATCCAGACCAAGAACAGGTCATTTAAGGTTAAAAAACATTGTACACACTATAAATAGCTGCAATTACGTTTAGACAAAAAAACTATTGTAATTTGAAATGCATCCTATGCACGTGGTCTTCAATTCTACCGGAAGGATGTTTGATCACATGACCTCCACAGTTAGGACATGTTTCCACAGGACTTAATCGTGATTGTTTGAGTGTAGCAGACGTTTGAAAACACGTTGGTTCAGTGACTGAGGCTTCCCTTCTGCCCTGTCCAGAGCTCCCGCAGCTCCACCTGGCAGCCGAGGTCTCTGAGAGCGGCTCGACCCACGTCACCGCAGTCCCTGTGAGCCGCCAGAGCCTGCGAGATCAGCGCCTCCGCTCCCATCTCCAGAATGGGCTGACTGTAGTCACGCGAGTGGGCCACCAGGTTCCTCAACAGCATGCAGGACTGTTTCTGAAACAGCAGGAGACGTGACATTACAGCCAACACGGAACAGAGCTTCATAAACAATACAGGCTGAGGAAAGACACGTCACTACAGCATCTGAAGAACATTTGTTCAGTTTTTTGTTTTTGCTTTTTAAGAAAAAGAAAAGAAAGGGAATATAAGTACTTGGAGAGTAAAAATTGTCCGAAGGGCTTCAAATGGGTTCAAAGTATCTGTCAAGAAGCAATGTAATCATTTTATTTAAATAAATTATACATATATATACACTCACCGGCCACTTTATTAGGTACCCCATGCTAGTAACGGGTTGGACCCCCTTTTGCCTTCAGAACTGCCTCAATTCTTCGTGGCATAGATTCAACAAGGTGCTGGAAGCATTCCTCAGGGAGTTTGGTCCATATTGACATGATGGCATCACACAGTTGCCGCAGATTTGTCGGCTGCACATCCATGATGCGAATCTCCCGTTCCACCACATCCCAAAGATGCTCTATTGGGTTGAGATCTGGTGACTGTGGAGACCATTTTAGTACAGTGAACTCATTGTCATGTTCAAGAAACCAATTTGAAATGATTAGAGCTTTGTGACATGGTGGATGTAGCCATCAGAGGATGGGTACATGGTGGCCATAAAGGGATGGACATGGTCAGAAACAATGCTCAGGTAGGCCGTGGCATTTAAACGATGCCCAATTGGCACTAAGGGGCCTAAAGTGTGCCAGGAAAACATCCCCCACACCATTACACCACCACCACCAGCCTGCACAGTGGTAACAAGGCATGATGGTTCCATGTTCTCATTCTGTTTACGCCAAATTCTGACTCTACCATCTGAATGTCTCAACAGAAATCGAGACTCATCAGACCAGGCAACATTTTTCCAGTCTTCAACTGTTCAATTTTGGTGAGCTCTTGCAAATTGTAGCCTCTTTTTCCTATTTGTAGTGGAGATGAGTGGTACCCGGTGGAGTCTTCTGCTGTTGTAGCCCATCCGCCTCAAGGTTGTGCGTGTTGTGGCTTCACAAATGCTTTGCTGCATACCTCGGTTGTAACGAGTGGTTATTTCAGTCACTGTTGCCCTTCTATCAGCTCGAACCAGTCTGGCCATTCTCCTCTGACCTCTGGCATCAACAAGGCATTTCCGCCCACAGAACTGCCGCTCACTGGATGTTTTTTCTTTTTCGGACCATTCTCTGTAAACCCTAGAGATGGTTGTGCGTGAAAATCCCAGTAGATTAGCAGTTTCTGAAATACTCAGACCAGCCCTTCTGGCACCAACAATCATGCCACGTTCAAAGTCACTCAAATCAACTTTCTTCCCCATACTGATGCTCGGTTTGAACTGCAGGAGATTGTCTTGACCATGTCTACATGCCTAAATGCACTGAGTTGCCGCCATGTGATTGGCTGCTTAGAAATTAAGTGTTAACGAGCAGTTGGACAGGTGTACCTAATAAAGTGGCCGGTGAGTGTATATATACACACACACACACACATATACACAGCAAATGTATAGAACAGAAATTGTTATAAAAAAATAAGTTTTATTCAAAATCACTATGGGCCAGTGTTATTTTTGTATTATTGAGATACTATTATAGTTTAGTAATATTTTTAATTACTTTTTTATTTTATATTTAAAATTTTTGTTAAAGTTTTAGTAATTTTGTTGAGATTTTTTTGTTCCATTTTATTAGTTTAAAAAAAGTCTTTAATTATATACATTTTTAGTTATTTGTTCATTTGTTTTATGTATTGAAGTTAATAGGTGTGTTCGACATCGGCTGCACGTAACCGATCGACGAGAGTTGTCGCGTGCAGGAGCTGCAAACAGAGACGTGAAGTCGGACACTTTCTGGTTCCCGTAATGACCACTCACGTGGTGTTTGCATACTTACTGCTGATTGGCTCTCTCTCTCTCTCCCCTCCCCATCATGAGTGGACACACCCCTTACTGCTGATTGGCTCTCTCTCTCCCCCATCATGAGTGGACACACCCCTTACTGCTGATTGGCTCTCTTTCTCTCCCCTCCCCATCATGAGTGGACACACCCCTTACTGCTGATTGGCTCTCTCTCTCCCCCATCATGAGTGGACACACCCCTTACTGCTGATTGGCTCTCTTTCTCTCCCCTCCCCATCATGAGTGGACACGTCCCTTACTGCTGATTGGCTCTCTCTCTCCCCCATCATGAGTGGACACACCCCTTACTGCTGATTGGCTCTCTCTCTCTACCCTCCCCATCATGAGCGGACACACCCCTTACTGCTGATTGGCTCTCTCTCTCCCCCATCATGAGTGGACACACCCCTTACTACTGATTGGCTCTCTTTCTCTCCCCTCCCCATCATGAGTGGACACGTCCCTTACTGCTGATTGCCTCTCTCTCTCCCCCATCATGAGTGGACACACCCCTTACTGCTGATTGGCTCTCTTTCTCTCCCCTCCCCCATCATGAGTGGACACACCCCTTACTGCTGAATGGCTCTCTCTCTCCCCTCCCCCATTATGAGTGGACACACCCCTTACTGCTGATTGGCTCTCTTTCTCTCCCTTCCCCCATAATGAGTGGACACGTCCCTTACTGCTGGTTGGCTCTCTCTCTCTCCCCTCCCCATCATGAGTAGACACGCCCCTTACTGCTGATTGGCTCTCTCTCTCTCCCCCATCATGAGTGGACACACCCCTTATTGCTGATTGGCTCTCTCTCTCTCCCCTCCCCCATAATGAGTGGACAAGTCCCTTACTGCTGATTGGCTCTCTCTCTCTACCCCCTCGCCCATTATGAGTGGACACGCCCCTTACTGCTGATTGGCTCTCTCTCTCCCCCATCATGAGTGGACACGCCCCTTACTGCTGATTGGCTCTCTTTCCCTCCCCCATCATGAGTGGACACACCCCTTACTGCTGATTGGCTATCTCTCTCCTCCTTCCCCCATCATGAGTGGACACGCCCCTTACTGCTGATTGGCTAGAAGTGTGTTTTTGGGCTTTGTCTTATCCACTTTTTAACAACGTTTTGCAAAAATCGCTTACTGCAATTGGGGACTTTGACCAGGGTCACGGGTTTTGCCTGAGCATTGAATGGAATGCACATTAACCTTTACCTGCACATTAACGTTAGCTGGGTGATTCTTCATGGCCTGCAGGGCCGCCAGCGCGCCGCCACACTCCATGATGACTTTACAGTTGTTGGGTTTGCGGAGGGCGAGAACACACAGCGCCGCACATCCCTGCTCACACACCTGAACCAGCAACAGCAAGAACAGAGCAAAACACATGAGAAACTAACTGGGTTTATGAGGAGCTTCAGATTTTAAGAATTAGCTTAGATTAACAAGTGAATTAGTTACCCAACACAGTCAAACAGAGGAACTTTATTAGTGCAGCACGAAACAAAAAAAAAATCATTGCATTATAAATTGTAACTAATTTTTATGAAAATAACTGATGATTAGACATTTTTCTCTTCAATACTGTTGAAACAATGAACACAGCCAATAAACTAGACTTTAATTTTGTGGTATAGAAGCGCAAATTGTTTTCAGATACATTTATAAATATGCACTACTGTTCAAACATTTGGGGTTAGAAGTTAGAACACATTCTTTATTCAACAAGGATTGATCAATTGATCAAAAGTGACAGTAAAGACATTTATAATGTTACAAAAGATTCTTTCAAATAAATGCTGTTCTTTAGAACTTTTTATTCATCTAAGAATCCTGCACAAAAATATGACCTCTTTTCAACATTGATAATAATAATCATAAATGTTTCTTGAGCAGCTAATCATCAAATTAGTATTTATACTAGTGCTGCACGATTAATCATTTCGCAATCGCGATGTCAAGCCTATGCGATTATATGGCGCAAAATACTGCGATTTTATATGAAATAAACAAATGGGCTCTATGCACGGCGGTATTTCCGGTGAAGGTCTAAGGATGCTGGATTACTTCCGCCGATCGTAGAGTCCAATGCTATACCGAGAATTTATATTGGTTTTTATACTCTATTGCTATACTAAAGAAACGTTAGTCACAAAAACAGACAAAACAGGCACCCCTCGTTTTGTTTATGCTTCTTTGTTTATTATATGAAATAAACATAACTATATATAAAATTACATCTAAACGTATTAAAGTTTCGTTTCAAAGACGAGAGGACAGTAAATTTTGAAGACTCTGCCATAATCCCGTTTTCCTCGGTTTTCCTCCGCTTTAAATCTCCCCAACCGGAAACGCAAGAGCATCCTTGCATCAAACGCGGAAGTTATGCGTGCATATAGCCCATTAGGGCTGTTAACGCAGCATCTGTTATTTTTTGTCATCCTTTTGCTAGTGTCTTTAAACCATTCAACGAGACAAGTCAAAAGACTAAAGAGAGCGCGCTGCCTGTGAATGTCCTGACTGAAAGACGGACGCGCGCCAGTATCATGCGCGTGCACAGACCGCGCGCCAGAATACAGTTCTCTTTCCGCTTGAAGTGAACGAACAATAACACACACAATTATGCCAAAATATCATTTGTCGACTGTCTTCATAACATAAGAGCAGTCTTTTGATGGACGTGAAGAGCTGTGAGAGAATAAGGCGCGTGTGAGATCCGCGTCTCTGTCAGCAACTCTTAAAGGGCCAGCATCCAATAATGCTTTCTGTCAGTAAAGTTAGTCAAAGAACAAAGGGAACAGAGAAAAACATTCACTGCTCTTGACCAAAGAACTTGTGTAGCTTTAAATAGGATTTTAGTCAATATCATTTATAATTCATGCAGCACAGACTGTTTGATAACTTTATTCAATTTCTGTATATGTCCTGTTAGACAGGAAGAGCACAGGTAAATATGACATTTATTATGGGTTTATGTGAGGATTGTTTGAAGTTCACTTAAATTAAAATTAAATGAATTTTTATCCAGACATCAATGGCTTATTGATCATTATAGGTGTTATCAATCATTTAGTTGTTGTTGCTAGTTTGAGTTGAGAAATACACATTTCAGAATTATCACTAATCTGTGTGTGCATTTTGCTTTAGAACCAAGGAAGTTGACTCATGAAACCATTTGTTTATTATATCGCTATCGCATATCGCAATATTGACCTCAATAATCGCAATTTGACATTTTTCCCCAAATCGTGCAGCCCTAATTTATACAGTAGTCAACATTTGAAGTGGATCAAAACCTTTCATCAAAGTTATACATGAATTTTGAACAATACCGTTCGGTAATACCTTATACATTCATTTTGAGTTTAACAGGCATTCTGGATAGTAATTAAATAAGAATTGGCAGTGTTTAAAGGGGACACACCTGTGCCTTGCCCATGTGACGGTTCATCGCCATAATGATGAGTTCCCCCCCGCCTGCATTCACGACAGCGTCTTTAACATCATCATTTCCAGCGATGGCCTTCAATGCACTGAGCACCTGCTTCACGAGCTCCTGGACAACCGTTTAACACATCAACAGATGATCACATCAACAACCCAGATAAAGATTGAGCTTTATTTCTGTTTATAGTGCTGAAACTAGCTCACCTGACTATCTAGGCCGTCCGCCAGGAGTGTGATCATGAAGTTCAGGCCTCCGAGGTCCACGATGTCCTGACAGAACTCGTTTCTCACGGCCAGACGGGACAGAGCGGCGCAGAGTTCACTGAGAACTGAGGTGTTTTCTGAGTGAGCTGAGACCAGAAGACATAAACATCATCATCATCGGTCATAAATAAACTAACATACACTGGCGGTCAATTAAGATTTTTAATGTTTTTGAAGGAACTCTTGTGTTCGACAAGGCTGCATTTATTTGATCAAAAATACTGTAAAAACAGTGAAATATTTTTTTAACTTAAAATAACTGTTTTCTATGTGAATATATAGTAAAGTGTAATTTATTCCTGTGATCAAAGCTGAATTTTCGGCATCATTACTCCAGTCTTCAGTGTCACATGATCCTTCAGAAATCAGTATAATATACTGATTTGCTACTCAAACATTTATGATTATTATCAGTGTTAAAAACGGTTGTGTTGCTTCATATTTTTGAGGAAACCGTGATAAACTACCGTTCAAAAATGTGGAGTGAAAGTTAAAAAAATTACTTTTATTCATTAATGATACATTAAACTGATCAAAAGTGACAGTAAAGACATTTATAATGTTACACAAAAGATTCTACTTCAAATAAATGCTGCTCTTTAGAACTTTCTATTCATCACAGAATCTGGAAAAATAAATTGCCTCACAGTTTCCACAAAAATATGAAGCTGTTTTAAACTGATAATAATCAGAAATGTTTCTTGAGCAGCAAATCATCATATTAGAGTGATTTCTGAAGGATCATGTGACACTGAAGACTGGAGTAATGATGCTGAAAATTCACAGGATATAAACTACAATTTAGTATTTATTTACATAGAAAACTTATTTTAAATTCTAATAACATTTTACTGTACTTTTAAATAAAATAAATAGAGATTTCCTTTAAAGACATTAAAAAAATCTTAGTAGTATATAAGCAGATATTCTTTGCCTGGTCAAATGTATTTAATGATTTATTTATTATTACCTTTAGCAGCTTCAACAATGACTTTCAGTCCGTTCTGCTCAACCACGATCATCCTGGCGTGTTCATGAGCCTGTCCAAAGGGGACACGCACGTCATCGTCAAAGGTCATGACCCTGAGCGCGGCACAGGCCTCCCTCACGACCTCGGGATGTGCCGTGTGGCGTGTGATGCTCCGGGTGAGCAGCGGCAGCACGCCCGCCTTCACCAAAACCTGCCTGTTGTTCTCGTGTTTCAGGCTGAAGTGGCGAACGATGCGGACACACAGGAGGGTGAGAGAGGCGTCCGTCTGGTGCGCAGTTAAAGCGCCGATCAGAAACTCTCGGCCTTCCACGTCCAGGAGATCCGGCTGGCCGTCTGTTAGCACTGAGAGAGCGGATAGAGCAACAGAAAGCTCTTCTTTCTCTTCACCGGCTCTCCGGCAGCAAGCGAGGATTGTGGGATATGCCTCCTTTTGAGCGGCCAGGTATCGTTGTGCGAAGCTGAGCGAACACTGTTCGGTGAAGACTCTCAGATCCTCCCGGACAGATGCGGACGGCGACGCCAATGCAGTTTTGAGCGACTCTAAAGCCTGAAAATATGCCACCGGTTAAATAGAAGAATAATGAAATGAAAGGAATAATGAAAAGAATAATGATTTACAGGTGAAACTCAATATACAATATCATGCAAAAGTTCATTTATTTCAGTAATTCAACTTAAAAGGTGAAACTAATATATTATATAGACTCATTAAATGCAAAGTGAGATATTTCAAGCCTTTATTTGTTATAATTGTGATGATTATGGCTTACAGATATGAAAACAGGGTTTCTGCAGGTTTCACAAAGTCAAATTTAAGACTTTTTAAGACCATTATGAATTAAATTTAAGACCTATATCACCATTTCAAGCCAAGTATCGCTAAACTTGCACTTCCCCATAGCTGAATAAAATCCGTTTTACGTCTTTCTGTGGTCTGTCACACGCGCCAATAACACGAAAGCTCAAAGCTGATTGGCTGTTGCATGTTGGTCTATTTTTTAGTCGTAATACAGCAAATTATATTTGGACTAGTGAAATAAGGAACTACAACACCACAAAAAAGCAATGCATTTCAATGAGATTTACATGGGGCGTGGGAAAATTAAGACCCGTTTAAAACGATTTAAGACCTAGAACACAATACTTCAGCAAATTTAAGACTTTTTAAGGCCTTAAATAGTGATTTTGAAATTTTAGACTTTTTAAGACCCCGCGGAAACCCTGTAAAAACCATTTCACAATATTCTAATTTTGACTTTGGGGTTTTCATATCTGTAAGCCATAATCATCAAAATTATAACAAATAAAGGTTATAACAAATTATAACTTATTTGCATGTAATGAGTCTATATAATATATTAGTTTCACCTTTTAAGTTGAATTACTGAAATAAATGAACTTTTGCACGATATTCTAATTTTTCGAGTTTCACCTGTAGATAGAAAACATGCCAGTCTCTGTGGGAGTGAGGTAGTGAGGTTAGTTTAGCTGCAAAACATCTCATATGAAGATATACCTGGAGAACCTCGTGAGTTTGATTCTCTGCGTTTTCTTCAGAACAAACTTTCGGCACTGCTTTAACAATGAAGGTGAGATCCACACCTGTGAGTAATAATCAAATCACTTCATTACCATGCATCATATGCATATGCGTCATATCACATATCTACAAAACAATGTAATGGTGTGAAGTAAAAAAAGTATTATTAACATTTTAAATCACTATTTTGTAATTCACTTAAATAGTCATGCAATGAAAAAATAGAATTTTTAAAAGTATATTCCATGTAGACTCTCAATTAATATGAGCTATATGAGATACCTAGGTAAATGTTGTTTGAACTAGTTTTAGATGGAGTTCAGCATGTTGCACTGCAGTATGTGTGTGTCTATTTTTTATTTATTTTTTACGTATAAATATGCATTCATGTACATACATGCATGTATACCTATACATGTTCATATGTCCACATACATGCATATACATGTTCATATGTCCACATGCATGCATATTGCATATACATGTTCATATATATGTCCACATGCATGCATACGGTATACATGTTCATATATATATGTCCACATGCATGCATATACATTGTTCATATATATGTCCACATCCAAATCATATATATATATATATGTCCACATGCATGCATACATACACACACACACACACACACACAGGGTGCACAAAATAATTTAGCAGACACATTAAATAAAACTAAAAGCAGAGATGATTTTTCATTTGTTAAACAAGTTTGAACCTCTACTGTAATTATGACATAACTCACCCTGAGATTCAAACTGCTCGATGGCCTCTTTCAAAGCTTCGCTGCCGTCCATGTCAAACTCCTCAATGTTTTCTCTGACCACAGCATCAAAGGTCTCCTGAGTTATCCTGCGTTTCGCCATGACTGCAACAGATGCTAAATAAAACATCACAAAAGGGGTGCAGTTTCAGTTCAGTGCTTCTGTTTGTCTTTTATAGTCTGTTTTTTTAGGCATGTACCATAATAATACCATGGTATTCAGTAAAGTACATTCGAGAAACTTTAAATACCATTGTACATTTGGAAATCGTTTAATATTATTGTATCACAATCTGACAACGTCACTAACGTACCATTATACAGACGCGGTACACTGCAATCAAGCGTGACTAACACAAAAACATTGTTTATTAACGTAAAACACTCGCTGTAGGATACAGTACCTGGGAGTGACATTTATTCGTACCCAAAGCGATTTAAAAACAAAACTGATAATAATCCTGAAACTCACCAACACCCAACCTGGACCCTTATGATAAAACCAACCCACCCTGGAGATGAGAAGATGCAGTACGCAAACAGCGCAAGCGTAGAACAGCAACTTAACCCAACGGAATTTAACTGACGCAAAAGCTTCGTGAATTATGACAAAGCCCTGCGTTGCGTTGCGTTGTATTTAATGTGGCCCGGGTGAGATCTGTGAGAGAAATAGGTTCCGCCTCATATAATAGTGACAAACAAAATAATTCTTAAATGTTTTACAAAGTGCATGCTATATTAACTGCATTTTTTCCACGAAGAAATTATATTATTATTTAATTATTATTATTTATATTATAGTATTTCAAATACACCTCGCATTTCATTCTAAAGAGGCATTTGACCACAGATACTTTCAAAGTTATGTAATTTCACCAGTAAAGCATTAAAACATTGATATACGAATGAATGAATGAATGAATGAATGAATGAATGAATGAATGAACGAACGAACGAATGAATAAATTAATTATAGATTAACATAAAAGTAATACAATAGACACAAAATGTTAAAGAACTTGAAAATTGACAGCGTTTATTTTGTATGTATTCATTCTGTTATTTACTTAATATTATACAAATAAATAACGTCCTATTTAATCAGTTAAATGTGCATATATTTTACTTTTTTTTCTTCTTTTTTTTATTATACAACTAACGTCCCATTTAATTAATTAATTAATTAATTAATTATTATTTATTTGTTTGTTCGTTTATTTATTTACTTACTTAAATATGTTTTACAACTAGCGTCATATTTAAACATTAATATATTCATGGATGTGGCATTTATTTATTTATTATACAACTAACGTCCCATTTAATGTGCATGGATGTGACATTTATTTATTTATTTATTTACATAAATATTGTACAACTAGCGACCTATTTAAACATTTAGGTGTCCATGGGCGTGACCTTTATTTATTTATTTATTTGTTTGTTTGTTTGCTTGTACAATTAGCGTCATATTTAAACATTTAAATATTAATGGATGTGGCATTTATTTATTTACTTACTTAAATATTGTACAACTAGCGTAATATTTACGCATTTATATATGGATATGGCATTTAGTAATTTTTTTCAGCCATGCCATATGCATATGACTGATAAATGCTGTATTAAATTTAATCTATTACTGTTTAACACATTGGATGGATTTTGCCTCTGTGTGACACCTATGGTGTGACACTAGGAGGAGCTATATATTTCAGCGTTGTCTCTGCGTCATGACGCTCAGATGAACGCGTCATCTGGATATAAGCGCGCGCGGCGCGTGACGCGTCCTTCTCCCTGCCTGTCCCCACCAGCGGAAGGCAGCGTGCTCTCTGTTCCTATATCAGTGCTGAGTGAATCCAGAACCATCTGCCAAAATGGTGCGTATCGTTCATATTGTTTGATTAGATACCGTTGCGTGGGGAGCGGATTCAGATGTTAGAATAATCATTTTTGCGTTTAACGGGATTTTTGGTTAGATGTTTTAAGGGAAAAGGCCGGCTAGTTGTTTTCCACAAAACAAAATGGCAGCGGCTGTTTTGCGGCATGACTCATTTATTAAAACACTTAGCAAATTATTTGTCGTTGTTTTGTAACTGTGTTATAAGTACTTTATTACATTCTCGGCGAAATGACTCAAACCACAGCCTTATTGTTAAATTGAGTCGTTTAGTTTGGTTTTCCCGGTTCTTTCAGACCGGGCCGGGCTAGCCTGTTAGCTCACGATGCCACGTATTGTGAAAAAAAAGAATCGTGTGATTGAGGAAAATCTAACTTATGACTCCCTGGTGGCCCTTTCTGTAATTATCTATCTTCATATTGTATTTCTACTCCTGGTTCTTATGTTTTCCGCCTGTTAGTGAGGGTCTGTGTGTGGTTTTATTCACTTTGCCGGTTGGTTTAACGGCAGACTGGCCGCACGCGCACCGGCACTCCGCAGTCACGTGGGAACAGTGACGTAACCAGTGCGTGTCCCGCATGTGCGGGTTTATCAGCGTGGCCACATCATCATCACGCACATGGCCGCCTATTGTTTGCGCAACGGCTTCTGGGAGAAAGGGCGCAAAGCGATTAATATTTATGGAGGTTCATTTACTAACCGGTGCTTTATTCGCCATTGCGTGTAACATAACACCGCAGTAAAATAAAATAAAGAAACAAACAAAAACAAAAAAACACTACGCGTTACTGCCAGTTTATTATACTTTTGACAGGTTCTGCTATATGCACCTGACACGTGATTTATATTGAACATGACACATTTGATATTTATATTTGGGAAGCAACATTTGCGTTCTTAATATGCATGCATGTGTGTGAATAAAACATAAATACACACACTATATGTTATACACACTAATGTCAACATTTGAAGTGGATCAGTGAATCAATGTTGTCCTAAGACAAGAACGGGTATTGTTCAAATTCAAAATTGATCCACTTCAAATGTTGACTGCTGTATGTGTGTGTGTGTATATATATATATATATATATATATATATATATTACACACAATACAGTATACTTTATTGTCCCCTTAGGGAAATTAAGTGTATGCTCCATTTCCAAATCACACAATAAATAAATTAATGGCATGCATTTCACCTAATCAATTGAAACATTAACGCAGAAACGGAGTAGACGGGCGTCATATTGCCCAGCTCAAAAAAGGCCACTGCTATTGCACAAATAACACCTGCATAAATCATAAGACCAGCAATAAATAACCAACAGTAAATAAGAATAAAAAATAAATCAATAAATAATGTTAGATAATTAATGCTAACCAGAGACTATCATGTGCCTTTGTTCTTGCCATTCAAGATTCTAATGGAGGCAGGCACAAGGAGTTTATAAATATTATTTACTCATATTAGTGGTGGAACGGATCACAAAATTCACGGTTCGGATCATTTACGGTTTTTGAGCAACGGATCGGATTAGGTTTTATATATATATATATATATATATATATATATATAAGTGGTGCACGATATATCGGCCGCCGATATGGTCTTTTTTATTTTTTTTATTCACAATTCTGTATCGTTTCGATGTCAAAATATGTCCGATAATCATTCCTGTGTGTTTGACGTGTGTGTAGATGTGAGTGCGGGGATGTTTGTTTTTGCACGAGCGCAAGTCCTGTCAGTTTAAACATTAAGCGCAAGAAGACTGGAACTCGCGCGCTGTTTTCTGTCAGCCTTACTAAGGCGTATTTTTGTCCCGCCGAAGCCTTATTTGACCGGTGAGTGATGATGACCGACTGCTGCGCTTGTTTAACTGAGAGAACGAGCAGAGAGAGTGAAAGCCCCGGTCGCGCATGCACTCTCACCGTCTTCAAACTGTCTTGCTCTCTCTCCCTCGCGCATATTAATGAATTGAGTTGACTGAATATCTTTGAGAATACACGATAGTAAAAGGTCGGAAGACCAACGTTTTTTTCCTGAACTACCCCTGGTTGTGAATTGTGCTATAACAACGTTGCCTTATCTTCTCTGAAAAGCTTTCCACACATTCAGATGACATAAACCACACTTTCAATAATCAAAAAAAAAATCTATCTAGTGATGAGATGTTTTCTGTGTTGAGACAAATCCTGTGCGATGTCCTAAACTGCCTGGATAATCACACAACGTGTGCCGCGGTCCATTAATGACACGTCCAAATCGTGAACTAATGACTCCTTTGAACCGATTCACTTTAATGAATGGTTAAAACAACTGATCTGTCCAACGCTGAACTCAAGAGACGCTTTACAATCGGAAACACTTTACAAAAAGGTTCAAATTATTAAACTTTGATTTTCATTAATTACTTAAATCTCACTTGAAGTTCTTCGATAGTACAACGAAAACTACTAGCCTAACTGATAAAAGTTCACTATTTATTTAAGACAAGTGAACCGTAAGTAATAAAATAAGAACAAATGCACAAATTACAAGCAGAGATGAATACTAAGTAACAAAGTCTAACAGTATTCAGGTACAGAAATTAATAATTTAGCTTAAATGTAAAAACACTATTTGTTCACTGTAGAAATTAAATAGTTTAATCTTTGGTAAAGCTGTATTTTGTTTTAATATTAATATTAGGACAACCGTAGGAATATTAGGTGTGTTCTGTCACTTTAAGGCCGAATGCACGGACCGAAGAAACGGACACGCATCCGGTTTCTTTCTCAGCTGTTCACTTATGACATAAAGGAGAGAATACTTGCCAAGACAGGCATTTTGGTATCAGTATGTGGATGTGAACGTTCAAGGTCAAGGAAACGCTAAAGAGGAATCAATTCGGTGTTTGAGCGCTATCAGAAACGGGTCTCTCTCTCTGTGCGCGCGCTTCGGGTGCGACTAATTTTTGCGTTTAAAATTGTTTGTGTAAATTGTCAAGACAAAACAGGTCCAAATGATAGACTTTCACTCTATGATGGTTAAATTGAGCAGTTGATCCGTGAATCACGTGCGTGCTGATCCGTTCCACCCCTAGCTCATATAGTGGTTGGATCAAAGGATGCTCTTTCCACTCCTAAATTTTATATTTAATATCTCACTGCTCCCTTCCTCTCTTCCAGGTGAACTTCACAGTCGACCAGATCCGTGCCATCATGGACAAGAAGTCCAACATCCGTAACATGTCCGTGATTGCGCACGTAGACCACGGGAAATCTACACTGACCGACTCTCTGGTGTCCAAGGCTGGGATCATCGCTTCCGCCCGCGCCGGAGAGACCCGCTTCACTGACACTCGCAAAGATGAGCAAGAGCGCTGCATCACCATCAAGTCCACGTAAGGCACCTGGAAATATCTGGGAATTTTAATATTTCGAGCCTGTAAATAAAATGCCGTTAAATACATATAAACATTAACATGCATAACTAAACCTGGAAATATCAGGGAATTTTAATATTTCGAGTCTGTTAATAAAATGCATATAAACATTAGCATGCATTACTAAACCTGGAAATATCAGGGAATTTTTATATTTCGAGTCTGTTAATAAAATGCAATTAAATGCATATTAACATAAGCATGCGTAACTAAACCTGGAAATATCAGGGAATTTTAATATTTCCAGCCTGT